GGACTAAAAAGGCCCCCTTTTAAAGTAGTTAAGGTACCAAATTGGTCCCTCAAAAGAGTTGGACACTATTTTGATTCCTCATAAAGAGTTGAGGGATCATTTTGATTATTTTCTCATTTTATTCTCATTGTAAGTGACAAATAGTTGCTGAAATTAAGTGCTTGTCACCAAATAAGTTTTATGTGTGCATTGCATGATTTTTTACATCTCATAAGTCATAATAGATCTATATTAAAAAACCTAAACTCTTAGATGTCCTACGCATTATATTTAGTATCATCTTGAGGTCTTTTTGGAGACTCTCTTTATTAATCTATTGATTTGCTCTGTTTACTTCTATTTGTATATCTTTCTATTATTTGTATTAAATTTATTGGTGTTTTTATGTTGTACAGTATCAAAACCTGAAAATGTTTTGGAACAGCTTTCTTCTTGTAATCATGTTTTGCATGATGAAAGGTGTGTTGATTCTCTTGATGGCCCATGTTGACTTCTTGGCCATCAATGAGAAGGTTCTACATTATAAGGAGGGAATTAATTGGAAACCTAGATAATAGGTGTAATTGTCAAAACTCTTAAGTCTTAACCATCAAGATATTATATGTATGGGCCTAATAGTCGCTCAATTTTATCTCCATGATATAAATTTCTAAGAAGTCACCCATCTCAGGAGTGCTCCTATACAGGTACACTTAATTTTGGAGTTTCATATACAATTACAACCATTACACAAAAAAGGCCTCAATATCTAAGAGTTTGATTTCATTCTACTTAAGGGACTTCATAATCTTCCCCGTAGTTGATGTCATCGTCAATATCCTTACATATAAACAAAAATTATTTACTAGTCGGATAAAATTCTAGAGGTGGCCCCTATAGATTCAAGAGGTGACTCTCAATATATATCATTTTGTCACAACAATAATTCAAAAGGTGGCTACCATGATGTAACACTTTGTCTTGTTATCTTCATGATGGTTTATTTCTCTGATATTACTTATAACAGTTTAATCTTTTAACAATCGAATTATTGTCTGTTTTAGCCTACTGGTCTTATGGTTTTTTCTTCTTAGTGTAATTTTCCAAGAGGTCACCAATTTCGGGAATGCTTCAACATGTGAGCACATTTAGTTTTGTAGTTTCTAATAAAATTTCAACCATTATGCCAAAAAATATCTCCACATATAAGTTTTGGATATATTCTACTTCACAGTCTTTGTGCAATTGAGGTAACTCTTATTACCTTTAGATTGGTGATTGATTAGTATATGTGAAACATAACTTGTGTGGTTGGGTATGCGTATTATCTTTGTTCTAGTTAAGACCCCTCATGCTTAGCAATCAAACATGTGGAAAGAACACCCTCATATTTAGCAATCTTATACGAACTGCTTGTAAAAATTCTATCTTGCTTGGCTGAAATTAAATTACAACAATCTCAAACACAATCTCCAAGAGGAATTAAGAGCAATAATAAGATAAAACTCTTTTTAATTGATGATATACTAAAGAAAACAATAAGATACAATGTATATTCTATTAGAGAGGAAGATCTAGCTCTCCCAAAGCCCTAGCCGCCGGTTAGAGCCCAGAGCTCACTAAGAATAATCTAAATTCAGCAAATAACATCATAATCATGAAATCATCCTATTGTTAGCCTTAAATATGCCCTCCTAATTCCCTTCGAAATCATCCCTTTTCCCTAAGTAATTTCCTCTTATATTTGAATTCAAAACAGATTTCTTGCCCTAAATAATGCCCTCCCAATTGTCATTAAAATTTTTCTAAGCTATTCTCCCCTGATTTCTCCTCCCTTTCCATAGATAATTCCTTCAAAAATGTTGAATTCAAATTAGATTTCGTGCCCTAAATAATTTCCTCCCAATTGTAATTAAAATTTTCCTAAACAATTCCCATTTAATTAAGAACCATATTAAACAACTCTCTCTTGATTAGGTAACTTTTTAATTCCCTCTCAATCAAATTGAACTGTCCAACACAATCATATATGTAAAAAGAAGTGATTTTTTAACATTCTAAGATAATAGTATTTCTACTATACAACATAGTGTTAAAGAATGATTAATAAGAGGGAGGTAACAAGCATGTGGGTAACAAAGCTTTATTCTCATCATCACCATGACATTAATATTCATCAAATATCTAGTAATGGAATTTAACTCATTAAAATGTGTCTTAATATGTGTACATTCTTTTGATGTTAAAAGGTGTGAATACAAAGAGGAACTATAGAATCTAGCTCCTAACTTTTAGATGACTACATCGATCTTAACTCTTAGGAGGAGAGTTCATTACACCTAATGGTCTTGATTTAATGCAAGCTTTCAAACATTATAAACAGTCCACAAAAGTTCAAATGGTCATAGACTAATTATTAGAAGTCACATTTGGCCTAAACATATTTGAGTCGATCCCAAGTCAAGCCTTTTTAGGTCTTTTTATGTGTTTGCTCGAAGTTTTTTAATTTTTTTATTTTATTAGGTGTTCCTGATGCAGGACTACATGCGAAGTAGGAAGCTTGCACAAAATAGTTAAAGAACAATTTCAGATTTTCGTTATTAGCGATTAAAACAACAAAGTAAAACTAATAAATGGTCACTTCTATTTAGGCTAAGCTACACGAGAGACTAAACAAAGTCAAAATATTTAAGAAAATTAAAGCAATGCATACGAAGTAGCTTTCATTACAACCTTGATCTAACAAGAGGTCTAAAAGCAAAGAAGTAAGAATCCTACGTTACTAATGGATGGTGACAGTGAAACAAAATCTCTTGCTTGAATAATCTCTCTACGAGGTAGTAGAATAGGAAAGTACACGAATCAATGAAGAGTATCACCTTTGCGGAGAATCGTCTTGATACACCTCTCGGATGGTAGCAAAAGAAAGAATCTTCTTTTATAAGCGGAGAGAGGTTACGTCCCAAGTGTTCTTCCAAAATCCAGAAAAAACGTTTCAGATTTTGGAACCGAACCAAAATCTGAGCCCAAAATCTGAGAAAATCTTCAGTTTTCTATGCTTAGGAGTAAAGAAAATTGGAAGGGGAATTCAAGCATTTGTCCAGAAAGTGGTGAATGTGAGAGAGAGGGGCTTGGAGAGAGAGAGGGGGAAGACGGGTGGGAGAGAGGGGAGAGACGGGTGGGAAAGAGGGCTGGCGGGATTGAGAAGAGGAGGGAATTTTATTTCCAAAATTTGATTTCAGGTTTTAGGAAATAAAATTAAAGCTTAGGACTTGGGGAAAATTCGGTTAAGAGGAGATTTGGGGAATTTGAAATATTTCCAAAAGAGATACTTAGCTTAAGGAAATAAATCTAAATCCAAGCCAATGAAGGGGCCGGCGGCATTAATGGGCAAGAGGGAATTTGGGGATGAGGTGTCATGCTTGCATAAATGTAAATTTAGGATTGGGAAAGTAATTAACCAAATCCAATTGAATTTGAAATTCAAAAGAATTGATTTAAGAACTTTCCAAAATAGAATGACAAATTAGGAAAGATTTCAAATTCAAATTAGTTGGATTTGAATTTTGAAAATTTGTCCAAAATTAAATCACCCAAATTAGGCAAGGATTTCAATGGGGAGAAGGAGGTGGATGGTGGCTGGCGGCTAGAGATTGGGCCGGCGGTATGAGGGGTCGGGTGGAGTGTTGACTGTGGGTTGAGGGAGGAGGAGGGGTCGAGTGAGGTGATCGGCGGCTTATGGTGGAGAATGTGGGAGGGGAAGTTTGATTGGGGGGGTGACGATTGCTTGGAGATGGAGGAGGGTTTGGGTGTCAAGATGTCCGGTGGTGGTGGTGGTGGTGGAAGGAGGGAAAAAAAAAAGACAGAGATAAAGAAAGACCACGAACCCGGCCGTCTCCAAGGTTGGTGGGTAGTGAGCAAGCTTCCCTCTCCTAGGGATCTCTCTCCATCAAACAATCAAGCTCTCACAAGAGCTCATGCAAGAAGACAAATGCAGCAAAATTTTCTTAATCATTCATTAACCTCAAAATAACAAGATGAAGGCTATAAATAGCCTCATACAATGACTTAAAGTAAAAAGGACTCAAATACCCTTAATGGGCTACAAGACTCAATCCCTCAAGCAAGGGTAAAAATGGAAAATGCTGAAATAAAAAATTACATCAATAAGTAGACAATAATAAAATCAAAAGTACATCGGGTAAATCGTGGCCGTTGATTTACGGCCACGTCGACAGTAGACTTTCCAACTGATGTCTCCATCAGTTCCTTTATTGGATTAAAATAGGTTTAAATATGAAGTTTGTTGGATTGGATAGGATTATATTGCATTTAAATTTTTTGCCTTTTATTTATAATCTATTTCCTTAAACATAGATTCATAATGAACACTGGGCATTATTATTGATTTAATGAAAGTTGTTTATGTGGATTGTTTCAAATTGTGTGTAGAATTTTGATCTTTCATCCTCCATCACATGCGCTATTGAAAAATGCTGCTTGATTTATGGCTAAAACAACCTCACATTCGAGCTAGGGAACATGTAGCTTTTTGTTTGCTTTTTTAGGTACTTATATGACAAGCTATACCATGCCATTTTATTTGAAGTTCCGCGCCTTCCAATATTTCTAGAAATAAAAGATTTAAAATGTTTCCATATCTTTTTCACTAAATCCACTGTTCTCCAAAGAGGTCATTTTCCCTTTCTTTTTGTTGTAGATAATGCATTTATTTAATATCTAAATCTAAGTACGTTGTGATAGTGGCTTTCTAGATTCCTTTGGAAGTTTTGAATGCATACATACTTGTCGTATTATAAGTAGGTATGCATACATGATGTATTTGCATACGTGCCACAACATGAATACAAGCATGCAAACTATTTCGACCATGTATTCATGCATGCATGTTTATGTGCATACTTGCTACCATACAGATATAAAAGAGTCTGCTATATATAATCTTTGTATTTTGAAATTTCTTGTTGATACCTTAATGACTATTTCTCCTTGTTCAATAGGCAGTTTTGAAACCACCTAAAGCTATCAGGGGAGGAATTCCTATATGTTTCCCTCAAGTAATGTTATATGTGCTTTGCATACTTTGTGAGTAGCGTAGTTCCTTTTGTTCTGTCTTGATGCATATCTGATTTGTTCTGTGCTATAGTTTGGTAATTTGGGATCCCTGGAGCAGCATGGCTTTGCAAGGAACAGATTGTGGGCAATGGATAGCTGTGCATCTCCATTACCTCCTCCCAAGAATCAGTCTACAATAGATTTAATTTTGAAGTCCCAAGAAGAGGACATAAAGACATGGCCAAGAAGGTAATAATTAATAAAAGCTCAATGAATAGGTCATTCCGTATACTGCTGATGGCTTTTCCATGATTTAATCTTTGAGCAATGCAGCTTTGAGTTACGACTGCGTGTTATTTTGAGCCCTGGCAAGCTGACATTGATTCCTCGGGTGAGGAATACCGATAATAAACAGTTTACATTCACTTTAGGAATGCGTAATTACCTCTCTGTTTCAGACATCAGGTACTTGGACATTAACCAAGTTCATATTCCATTAAAGTAACTTCATAAATCTGTTGTTTAGTTCTTCATTGTCTATTTTATGTAGTTTCTTATTATGAAAAGAATGTAGAAAGCTGCCAAATATGGTAAAGTTTTATTTGTCCACTTTTGCTGTCTGACTTTTTTGTTCATAGTGTTGGTTGAACCATTCATTTTAAATTTCAAGTATGGAAACAGTCTTTCTTTTCTAGTGAAATTTTATAGTGGATGATTTCTTTGGCAGTGAAGTCCGAGTTGAGGGATTGGAGACACTCGACTACTTCGATAATCTTATTAAAAGGGAGAGGTTCACAGAGCAGGCAGATGCAATTACGTTTGATGGGGAGGTTTGAATATTTTGGCATATCATTTAGTTTGTTATCTACATTGTTTTAAGCATTTCCATGTTAATTGGCTGAATATTGGTTTTCTTGTAATTTCTTAGAAGCTGATGACTATCAAATGCAACGCTTTTTGTTATGTAACCATTTCTCTCACAATAAAAAACGAGATCTCACTACTGTTATGCAAAATATATATTACATCTATTATCAATTTCATGATGCCATTAGGACTGGCTGTAAGCAAAGGATTCAACAAAGTTATGTAGTGATTATAATTCTTGTAGGTTATTGCTAGGAAGTACATGAAGATTTCAAGTAAACCCTAATATAAAAACAGCGAGAAAACTCCACAAATTCAATGGAAAGTCAAAGAAAACAATAGTTTTATTGTAAGAATCAAACTAACAGAAGAAAAAATTGTAAGATACAATTGATCCTCAATTCAAGAGGAGGATCTCTCTCCCAATCCCTAGACGCCGCTAGAGTCCAAGATACCAAACTCCAAGAACAAGAACAACCTAAATAATTTGCATAACCCTAATCCTCCCTCCCTATTTAAAGCAAATAAACCCACCTCCTTAGCCCCCCCTCCTATTTGAAATAGCTAGTAGACCCCGCACTCCTTGGGTGGCAAAACAAAGGGGGGCGGACTGCTTGGTTCACCTCCTATAAAATTGGACCAGCCCTTTGTCCAAGGCCGGGCTAGACTGGTCTAACAATTGCTTGCTTGGCTGTTGCTGTCTTTAGTATCATCTTCTCATTAATTTCTATTACCAACCCATAATATTTTAACAAGTTTTAGTTTTTAATTATTTTCTATTTTCAATGTAATAAATATGTATTTAAAATTGATAGCATGTTTTCCCCGGAGTTTGTATGCTTGTTGAATGAGTAGGTCGTATATTGTTGGAGACCTAATATTAGAAACTCTAAACCTTTGAACGTCGTCTTCGCATTCCCATAGATACCCCTTGTTGGACTCTTCAGTGTCTCAAACTCAACTTCTTTAGTAGTATAAGAATTTTCAAATAAAAATCTAAGAATTAGCTTAATGGGCATTTATGTCCATCTAGCTTATCGACTTTTCCCATTTTTCTAGTTTGGACTGTTTTGTTCTTTCTTGTTCACAATTTTTCCTTAACAGGTAGATAGAGTGTATTTGAGCACGCCTGGAAAGATAGCCATCATTGACCATGAGAAGAAAAGAACTCTTGTTCTGAGGAAGGAAGGCCTTCCAGATGCAGGTAGATAACTTGCTTAACATGACTTAACTGCTTTGATTTCTCATCCCCTACAGTTTAATTTCTTTCCTGTCTCCAGCTCTTTGGAACCCATGGGATAAGAAGGCTAAGGCTCTCCCCGATTTTGGCGATGAGGATTTCCAGGTCATGCTATGCTTGGATTCTGCAGCTGTCGAGAATCCCATCACTCTCAAACCATCAGAAGAATGGATGGGCCGCCAAGAACTCTCCACCGTGCTGTCAAGCTACTTCAGTGGACAGCTCGACCCTCGCCAAGTTCTCGCTGGAAAATAATCATCATCGCATTCTATTTTGCATGGACAATCATAAAAGTAAGTATTATATAGCTAAACAGAAGTGCATGGTTTGTTTTTCTGCCTGTTTGGTTGGTGAGATTATTCTGTGCGGACACTGGACAGGAGAACTGTTCAGTCGGTACCGTGCTCGGTACAGAGAGCGGTATACTTTTGGGGTGATGTGGCGCATTTTTTATTTGCCTCTGGACAACGTCCGGATTCCGCACAGAATAATTTACGGTTTGGTTGTGGGACTATTTTACTGTTCAGATAATGTTGAGAGGATTTCAAAGGAGACATGCCATAAAATTTTAAGATCTTTCTAGATATCTTATATTTTTACTTGTGTAAATAAATTTTTCATAAAAATATTCCATTTGTGCTCCTTCCAAAAATTTTAAGGGTTACAAATAATTATTGAAAAATATTGCCAGTATGAATTTTTACTCTCATCTACAAAAAGTTTTCTGATAGTTTTTTATGCTTATTCTCTAAATTTCTTGACAGGAACCTCAACCTTTAGTCAAGCTGCTTCATTGGACAACTCAAACGTTTACAAAGTTCTTGCTGGCTTCTAACAGGTCATTGCATTCTGTTTTAGTATTTAGCATGCAGAGGTTCATGAAATTGTGCATAGTTTCATATATTCATACTTTTTGTTTATCTGCTGGTATGTTTTCCTGTTATGGTGTCATTGGACTTGTGATAGAATATTTCAGAACAGTCAGTAGAGAATACCTTTCTCAGTTGCATCATTATTCATTTTGTTTAGGAAAATTTGAGCTTTTGTATTTTTCTACCATGAGTGTTCTCATATTCATTATGATCATTCACTAACGCTTCATTTGTGACAACTTTCTAACTACTTTACTCATAGTTATTATGATCAATTACTAAGGTTTCGTTTGGGACGGCTTTTTTACTGCTTCTTAAAACAGTTTTTTAGTACAACAAATAAAAAATTTATACTAAAAAGCTGTTTTAAGCAGTAAGAAAGCCGTCCCAAGCGAAGCCTTGGAACAACTTTCTTATTGCTTCTTAAAGCAGTACGAAAGCCATTCCAAACAAAGCCTAAATGGTGGTTTTAAATTAATTTTTTTTTTTATTTTTTTTTAATGCATGTTTGATTTATGTTTTTTAGATGTTTTACTTTTAATTTTAAATTAAAATATAATCAATATAAAAAATAAAACTAAAAGATATCCCACAAAACCCTAAATTTCTTATTTAGATCCCAAGCATAAACCTAATGTTCTGATTTAGGGATTTTTTGAGTTGGTATTGAATAGTCTATGAATAGAGTTATATTTGTATTCAAAATTAATATATTAAATTAATTTTGGTTTTATTTGGGACATCTTTCTTATGATTTTTTAAATTAGTTCTTTAGCACAAAAATTTGTAATTAAAAAAATTATTTAAAAAAGTAGGAAGAAAGTTGAATTCTGAGCCAACTTAAAAAAGAATATGAGTTTATTCGAATTAATTATATTTGAACTAAAAATAAATGTGCAGCAGAAGCTTGAAATTGTTCTATGCGACTGGGATTAGAATATAAGCATTGAATTGGTGTTATTTGTAAAACTAATTAAAGTTATTTATAAATTTACCTCTTACATTAATTTGTCAAAATATCATCAAAAATTCAAAATTTATTGTAACACTCTTGTTCGATTAAATGATAATAATTTGATTGTTATACGTTTTATTTTATTTATTTATTTATTTTTGGATGAATGGTGGTGTTGTAAATAAAATGAATTTCGGTGGCATCTTCTTTATTCCTTAAATTCGAACTTAGTTCGAGCTTTATTTAAGAGTTTGAGTTGATTTATGAGCTAGCTAAAATAATTATGATTTAAATAATTATTATAATAAAATAGTACAAAAAAAGAGAAATTATAAATTAATAATAACAAATAACTTCATATATAAGAAGATGAATATAATTTGTAAATATTTTTAATATTTTTATATTCTTTAATTTTAATTCTTAATTTTTAAGTTAATCATTTTATAATAATATTATTTTAAGCCAAGCCAAGTTCTCGAACTAACGAGTCGAGTCAGGTTAGCTTAAATTTGCCTTATTAGCTTATCGAGCTCAGCTCACGAGCTATTTGAAGACCGACTTTGAAGCGGCAGCTTTACTTACTTACGCCTCGTCCCAACATGAATCGTGGGTCAAATTATTTTTAATTTACAGCCACATGAAAGATAGGCAAAAAAAATCAATTATGATTTTCTAAAATATTAGAAGATGTATATTATAAATAATTATGAGTGAAAATCATTTAAGGATATGCGTATAGATATACTTACTATATAATATATATATATATATATTTATATATATATATATATATATATATATAATATATAAATATATATATTTATATTTTTATTTTTTTTTATTTGGTGGAATTTTCATTTGTTGTGTGTTTTGATTTTTATTTCATTATTATTTTTTGTAAGAAGTTTGGTGTAATTCATTAGCATTATGGTGTCAATAACTGACATGATTTAACATCTTCTAGCTTGAACCCAACTCAAAAATTTGTAATTCATGTTAGGCATGATCCAAATTTTCGGGTCAAGCTAATTTGGTGATGACACGAACATTCAAATTTGTCCAAGTTAATCATTTGGGTTCGTGTTAAACATGTCAGGGCCTAAATCACTGGATATTTATGGTTAAATGGAGTTGTATTGATAAATGAGATTGAATTCAAGTCAAACATGCTTAGGTTTGAGCAACTTCCATGACCAAACCTGGCCTCACACCAATTGAATTTGCAATCCTTAGTAGTACTATGACTTTCGTTATTGTGATAGACTTTTTGCCGTTTCTTTAAGGCATCTTTTTTATTACAAAAAATTTAACTATATTGTATTAAAAAGTTGCTTTAAAACAATAAGAGCCCTCCCAACTAAGCCTAAATCTACTTATTTTTCCATTGGAGATTAGTGCATATTATGTCACTCCACACCATCTTATTTACATTATAAGAGTTAAATGGTAGCTACTAATATTTTCCAGGCTTTTTTGCAAACATTACCCAATCAACGCATACTCAGCCATGTTTCATGGTGGTATCCCTTGTTTATTCAATACAACGTTATTACTTGCACTCATAAATAAAAGCTAATAAATTTCAATATATTTCATCCTGAGATTTCTATAAGAAACAGCATGATAGAGGAAAGTGCTACATCCAATTTTTAATTTTTATAATCAGAAATTTTTTGAGCTTAGATCAAAAGTTTTTTTCTTCACTACAACATTAGAAATTTGACACATCTTATCTATTTAAATCATTAGTGTTCATTAGCATCATATATCACTATATATATATACTATACTATATCAAAACACACGAAGTCAAATTCTTTTTTCTTTCTGTGCCCTATTATTTATTACTGATCATAATTCTTTTAAATTTAAGTCATTATTCGATATAAGACAACATTTTAATTTATAAAAATTTATTGAATAATTATCCAGTGGCTTTATTATTAATAATAATACCTAATGTCTATCCTCATTCCATATGCAAGAGAACTAAATTATTTATTTTTAACCCAATCAATCATGTTGTTATTAATCGATTACAGATTCAGGACTCAAGTAAAATCAGATCTCTTTTATTCAAAAAAAAAAATTAAAACCAATTTATTGAGCCCCCACGATTCATTGTTGGTCGCCTAACCTCCTTTTATCCCCATTGAGAATATTTCTTATAAAAAGAACTATTTCGCAATCTCTTGCTTTCTAAACCTCAAAGCATGTATTGTCCTATTATGAATCCATTAGAGGGGAGGCACTACTATCACTTAGCACTAGCATAGATTTCTTAATATTATTTAATGTAAATTAAGAGCTTCTTTTGGGAATGACTTTTTTATTGCTATCTTAGGAACGAGTATTTAGTAAAAATAATTTTTTTTGTAGCTAAATTCTATTTAAGAAGCAATAAAAAACCGTCACGAACGAAGGACATCATTCTTACTGCTTTCTAAGCTGTTTTACTTTAAAAATTTACAATTAAAAAAATATATACTAAAAGATTATTTTGTAAGCGCTAAAAATACAGTTTCCAAGCGAAACTAAAAGTTCATATTTAAATATAAGAAGCTTGAAAAGCCAATTAGTAAAAATAAAATTTTTTTTGTACTACAAACTCTATTTTAAAGAAGCAATAAAAAAAGCCGACAAACGAGCACATCATCTCTTACTGCTTCTAAAGCTGGTTTTAAACTTAAATTTTTTAATAAATTATACTAAAAATAATTATTGTAAAGCAATAAAAAATTGTTCCACAAGTGAAACCTAAAGCTTCATTTTAAAATAATACAAGAAGACTTGACGTAAGCCATTAAGGCAACTACATTTATTTGTTTAAGCCTAGGTGAGGTGTGGAGTTGAAATGGAACATGACATGGAGAATAAATTGTGGGTGAATTGTCTTAAGTGGTGGTATTTCATTTCTCTATTCTCATCCTATGATCATCATTGTACTTTTTTTACAGCACATCCTTTTTTTCTTTTTTGTTTAAAATTATATCACATGTGTGCAATAATTTATCTTAGTTTTGACCCATTTTGATTAGATAGTAGGGATTAGTATAACTTTATTTTTTCAGATCATTGTAAGTTAAAAAAAGTTAATATAATTGCATATTGATTGTGAGCATAATTGCAAATCTTAATTGTTCCATATAAATATAATAGATTTAAATTGTTTGTTAAATTTCTAAATTTAAATTGTATAAATTTTGGTAATTTTTAATTATATTTAGTAGTTATTGTATAATGTTTAGAGGTTTATCCACGTGGCATCTTACATTAGTTTAGATTACTTGTAAACCTGCTGTATCTCATAATATAGTAGAATGTTATCCGTAATAGATAAGCTTTTCATTCTTTATTTGTTTCCTTCTCCGGCTATCATACCAATAAGAGGTAATCAGAGAAGTGTTTGATCCTCTTTCTAAGACTTCTTCGTCCTCGTATTCTTCAAATTCTTTCGTTCTTATCATGGCTCAATCGTCCTCTATAGTTCCCACAACTAAGAAACCGCCAGGAAGCCCATCGACTCTGACCATGAGAGTCTACCGCAGAATTCCTGCGTCTCTCAAGTTCATAGATGGGAAACTCAAGAACATCGTTGCCCCCTCTTTTCGCTGATAATACACTCCCCTTTGGAATCCACGTACTCAAGCTTTTCCTCCTGCACGGTATGAAGGGTTCTTGAATGGAACAATGACGCTCGCCCAATTCATTTCCGACATCCGTCTGCCAAAATCTCCAACGCCTCAATAAGGCGGTGGTGGCGTCTTCTTGGACCATACATCTTGCTGCTGCGCTCTTATCTACGGATGATTTCTTCTTCCATCTTTCCCTACGTTCTATCAGAAATGCATTGTTCCGACATCCTTTGGTCGTTTCTTGATGCGAAGACTGCATCCAGCACGCGATCATCGTATCATTCAGCTGAAACGTGAATTGCATTACTGTCCATGAAAGGCAAGACCATGTCGAGATAATCTTCTTGATGTCAATACTAAATTGATGCCCTCACTGCCGCTGGAGCACCCGCTCGCCGTTGAAGACATTTACCAGCGGTACATATCTGGATGGAACTTCACCGGCTTTATCAAGCCTTCAAACTTCCATCCCGAACCAATCTTCAACCGCATACTCTTGATGGATATGTACACGCCTATTTATGGTATTGAAGAACTAAATCTTGCTCATGAAGCCAACTTCGTGAAATGTAATCGCTACAACTTTCGGAATCCATAGTGGCATTAGCGCATCACAGAGGA